GAGTTGCTGGAGGCTGCCCACCATCCGTGCCTCCACACTCGCATATCTAGCCTCCTTTTAAAACTTTCCAGCATTTCAGCACTTACTACAAAGTTGCTAAGCCTGTTCCACTCGTCCACCACCCTGTTTGTGAACCAGTTCCTTCCTATCTCCCTCCTAAACCTAAACTTATCCAACTTAAATCCGTTGCTACAAGTCCTATCTTGCTCGGATACTATAAGAACTTTATCTATCTCCTTTATTGATTCCTTTCACCCACTTAAATACTTCTATCTTATCTCCTTCGCTTTCTAGGAATGCAAGTTTAGGATATTTAACCTATCTTGATATGGAAGGTTTCTAAGTCCCGGAATCATTTTCGTCATTCTTATACACCGACTGTAGTGAATTGATATCCATTCTATAATAAGGGCACTAGAACTGAACCGCATAATGGAGGTGCGGCCTGACTAACACAAGACATAGTTGCAATAAGACCTCTGCACTCTTATTACTTACACTTCTAGATATAAAACCTAATACTTCTTAAGAACATCCTCTTTTCTGAGTGATATTCTTTAATTTCTCTTCTTCATTTCCCTAAATATCAGTGAATATCTTGCGAAGGTCTAAATATTTTCCCAACACAGTAAATACAGTGATAATGGAAAGTAAACTATTTATTTGACCACTTCCCCACCACCACCATTCCTCCAGTGACCAACTGATGTACTCAAGATGGATCTGATTGTTCCTGGCTACAATATTTGACTGTCAGGTGAACAAGGTAACACCGCCTCTTACACTGGGATTTAAAACGCTCATAGAAATCGTGTTTGGTTTAAACAAGACAAAATTATGAAATCACGAAGATATGGCAGCAGCCCATCTTATATCACCTGAAGATTAACTACCCTAACACCCGCTCCCCCCACCACCACCAAAACTGGCACTTCTGTGTATAACAAGTAAAATTCGATTGGGTGCCTAATCTTCACATGACGGCTAATGTGGAGCTGAGTTTGGCTGCGCTGAGTGGTTAGTTGCTTATATTGTTACATACGTTTTAGCCTAAAAGTGCTGTTTATATTTTGTTCCCGACAATCATAGACCACTTAGAACACTTATGAATACACCAATGAAGACTGAAGGCATTATGTACGCAGTTGAGACATCTCTATTACGCCGACTGGTAACAACCACTTATAAGGTTTGATCATGGACACGATTAGGTGTTAATCTAATGTTCATAATCCTGTAAAGCCGTGTTAAAGGACTCCGTATAAATGCTAAACCGGATAATGGTCTAGGGGAGAAGGTCGGGTTAATCAGCGTGGGTGGTCGCCTTGTTCTGGTACCTAACCTTGAACTCCTACAACCAAATCACGTTGAAATGGATTTCTACCCCAGTGAAGCTGTCAAGATCATTCAGTATAATTAAGTCCCAGTCATCAACATTTGTATACAATTAATGGGCTATCGAATTGACGTAGATTGGAGAGAGAAATAAGTTGTAAGGGAAATATACACAGCGACATACCTTATATTTTTCAACACCAACACACACATGATGGCGTCTGTATTTTATAACCCTTGACAACTGGATGTATTAATTTAGGAGCATTTTGTAATCCTTAACTTCCGTCACACATCCACTAATCGCCTCGACCGTCTCACTACTGGCCGGCTCCCTCCCTCCACGCCTGGCTGCCCTGGTCCAAAGTTCATCCACATCTCCACCACACACTGAACCATCTCCAGAACGAACATACGCTTTTGTGGTGTTGAAGCACATGATATAAAGCATCACTTGCGAGCCTTAGTAATAACACTTAATCGGGTTGCTGGCGTGGCCATATTTGTTTTGCTTAATTTGACACCATAAGAAAGTACTGATACCTTCCAAAGTGACAACTGAGAGCTCGACTCCCAGACACTGAACCACCCGATCTTGTAATGATAAGGACCGGATATTACAAGTAAATGCTCACTAACAGAAAAACTGAGTTGCTTCTGCAGGAAATAATGGGAAACGTGTTTTATTCAGCTGATCAACAAAAATCACAGATGGTTCAGAGAAATGTGGCTCCAAGCTCGACTCCTGATTCAGCGCTTCGTTTGTGGTGACCAGCCACTCAGACCAGCCACTCAGAACTCATGATACAAACGACAGGTTGACATATTCCCATAGGTAGAGGTTCTGCATGATGAATACATTCTGAATAAATTACACGTAATGTCATGTAGATAATCAGAATTTATTGCATATGCCAAACAAAGATTTTTATTTGGTATATTACGATATATTTATTTTTATGAGAAAATCTACAAAATGGCGTAAACGAACCGAAATAACCACTAATTTGTACCAACTGACACTGCTGGTAGTCAAGGCGGGCGGGGGAGAGGGCTCACGGGTGGTAATGTGCAGTGTGTGTGATGATGATGAATGATGATGATGACGTATAATGATGATGATGGCGTATATGTGATGACGTATATGTGATGTGACCGATGATAAATAATGAATGATGGCGATAATGATGGGTATTATATGTGATGTAGCTGATATTGATGATAAATAATGAATGATGATGCCTTTGATAATGATGGTGATGATGAATAATGATGATGATTGATGCTGCTGAATGATCCCCGGTTGTATAAGACAATTCATCATCACTACACACACCACTTGGTTTGATTTACAGGGGGGTGGCGAGGTTAGGTTGAGTTCATTTCACATTATGGCTTCGTCCCGTGCAATAATAACCTACCTCAGAGTTCTCATTTACTATTTATGAATGTTCAGTCATACCTAATTCTCTCAGTGGCAAACCTCTGGATGAAAGGCTAAATATAAAATGATAATACACGCGTAGTTGCTAGTGGCGTAGTTACCAGGGGCGTATCCAAAGGCTGAGTATTTTTGTTTACCATATATAAGCACACCTGATATCGGGACACAAGCCATCTGGGTGGTTAGTTTATCCAATGTTGGTGCAGGCGAAAACCGGAAATCGTGCTACTTCAGACATACATTTAAATCAGAGGCGATTCGAACCCTGGACTTGTGGGAGAGAAATACGCACGTTACGATATACAACCCAAGATCCAAGTGGACCCCTGCTGTTGGTTCGTCTCCTTCTCCTTGGCTGGATTTTCAACCCGAAGTGATTGCCCTCGGTGGACCGCTCCCGAAATCCCACGTGAACCCTGTTATTCTCTGCAAAAACCACCTTTCCAGGATCGCCCACTGGTCCCCAGGTAGGGTCGTCCTCTACACTCATGGTTCTGTTGACCCCGCTACAGGTCGGGCCGGGGCTGGTGTCTACATCTCCCGTCCTGATGCCCCTGAGCCTATCAAACTGTCTCTCAGAGTTTCTGAAGGGGCATCCTCCACTCAGGCGGAACTAATAGCCCTCCTTGCTGCCCTTCTCGCTGAGGAAGAAGCAGATGGTTTCTGCCCCTTGCTTGTCTGCTGCGATTCCAGGTCTGCTCTCGACGGGATCGCATTTGGATCAGGGGAAGATAAGGACCTCATCCTCCGAATACGAGGGTTAACATCCACACTTCAGGATGCAGGCCGTCCTGTGACATTCCTATGGATACCCAATTCACGAGTTGGAACTCGTGAACGTATGATGTTGTTTAATGCAAGTTATGGAACATTACAGTATCTTCAAACATGTTTTCACGCTATTAATAGGCCTTATGTAATCCACCAATAAGGATTACAACAGCACACAGTATGGCTGCAATTGGTAAGAAAAATAAAATATAACATGGCAAAATTTTTGCCCTGCGTAATTTTTACAACCCACCTCACGCCTAACGTAAACCGAAAAATGCTTATGTGTATAGAAGATTTTCAATTCAATATCACATATTCTTTCACCTCTACAAATATCTGCTGTCACTCATGGGACACCCTGCAATAGTATAAGGACGACATGGGCTATGCTGACAAATTAATGTGGCTTACCTGTTGGTGACGACGATGGTAGGAATGAGACCTCGGCATGTTTCAGTGTTCGACATCACCTCCTTCCCCTGGTGTGGGTGGCGCCAACCCTGGTAACAACTTGTGTATTCTCCGTGACTACCAGTAATGGTAGTCACGGAGAAT